TCACCCACTCTATAGCCCAGATCTAGAACTCCTCACCCACTCTATAGCCCAAATCAAGAACTCATCACCCACTCTATAGCCCAGATCTAGAACTCATCATTCACTCTATAGACCAGGGCTAGAACTCATCACCCACTCTATAGCCCAGATCTAGACCTCCTCACCCACTCTATAGCCCAGATCAAGAACTCATCACCCACTCTATATCCCAGATCTAGAACTCCTCACCCACTCTATAGCCCAGATCAAGAACTCATCACCCACTCTATAGCCCAGGCCTAAAACTCATCACCCACTCTATAGCTCAGAGCTAGAACTCATCACCCACTCTATAGCCCAGATCTAGACCTCCTCACCCACTCTATAGCCCAGATCTAGACCTCCTCACCCATTCTATAGCCCATATCAAGAACTCATCACCCACTCTATATTCCAGATCTAGAACTCCTCACCCACTCTATAGCCCAGATCAAGAACTCATCACCCACTCTATAGCCCAGATGTAGAACTCATCAACCACTCTATAGCCCAGGGCTAGAACTCGTCACCCACTCTATAGCCCAGATCTAGAACTCATCACCCACTCTATAGCGCAGAGCTAGAACTCATCACCCACTCTATAACCAGACCTAGAACTCATCCTCCACTCTATAGCCCAGAGCTAGATCTCATCACCCACTGTATAGACCAGATCTAGAACTCATCACCCACTCTATAGCCCAGATCTAGAACTCATCCCCCACTCTATAGCCCAGAGCTAGAACTCATCACCTACTCTATAACCCAGATCTAGAACTCATCCACCACTCCATAGCTCAGACCTAGAACTCATCACCCACTCTATAGCTCAGACCTAAAGCTCATCACCCACTGTATAGCCCAGACCTAGAACTCATCACCCACTCTATAGCCCAGACCTAAAACTCATCACCCACTCCATAGCCCAGATCTAGAACTCATCCCCCACTCCATAGCCCAGATCTAGAACTCATCACCCACTCCATTGCCCAGACCTAACGCACCACGCAGCCCCGTGTGACACCCCATGTGATACCCCGCGTGATACCCCGCGTGATACCCTGCGTGACACCGCGCGTGACACCGCGCGTGACACCGCGCTTGACACCGCGCGTGACACCCCTTTTGACACCGCGCTTGACACCACGCGTGACACCCCTTGTGACACCGCGCGTGACACCCCTTGTGACACCGCGCTTGACACCGCGCGTGACACCCCTTGTGACACCGTGCGTGACACCCCTTGTGACACCGCGCTTGACACCGCGCGTGACACCCCTTGTGACACCGCGCTTGACACCGTACGTGACACCCCTTGTGACACCGCGCGTGACACCCCTTGTGACACCGCGCTTGACACCGTAGCGTGACACCCCTTGTGACACCGCGCGTGACACCCCTTGTGACACCGCGCTTGACACCGTGCGTGACACCCCTTGTGATACCGCGCGTGACACCCCTTGTGACACCGCGCGTGACACCCCTTGTGACACCGCGCTTGACACCGTGCGTGACACCCCTTGTGACACCGCGCGTGACACCCCTTGTGACACCGCGCTTGACACCGTGCGTGACACCCCTTGTGATACCGCGCGTGACACCCCTTGTGACACCGCGCGTGACACCCCTTGTGACACCGCGCTTGATACCGCGCTTGACACCGTGCGTGACACCGCGCTCCACACTGCGCGCCACACCGCGCGCCACACCACGTGTCACACCGCGCGTCACACCCCGCGTGACACGGCGTAGAGTTTCGGGGAACCTCGGCCGCTTTAGCGGCGTTTGCCCAGCCCTCCGCAAATGGGACGCCCCTCCCCCAACCGCCCATGCCGTCGGCTCCTTGCCCCTCTATTAACCCTCTCCCGTGCCGATGGCGTACGTGCACGTCAACAAAACGAAACGGGAAGAAAGATGAAAATAAATAAATGCTTATCGGTACCGAGGCTCCCACATAGGCCACGCGGTAGAGCGGGTGGCACAGTTTGCCGCCATCTGTCGTAGAGTGCGGCGGTCGCGGCGCTACAGTTCTCTGCGATGAGTAACAACATCTTTAAAAACAGCGGCGCTACTACGCCCCTCTATATAAAATCCCGAGCTACTCGCGCTTTCCGAGATTCAAAGGTGAATGGGACGCCACCCACCCTGCGACTTGCAGACGTCTCGGATACAGGAAAGGGGTTTGACGCCTCGCTGGCGACAGTGCATCGCGTTTACCTTCTGTATTCAAGTGGACACTTTATTTATTTTGCCGACGGCCACTCGAGGGGTCCGGTGGCTGCTTCTGGAGAGACCGGCAATGGGATACGCGACCACGGCCTTCTACCGAAGCCTCCAGTCGACCTTCGGCTAGCGGGAGGTCGCTCATTCTCCACCGCTGCACCCATGGTCTAGAAAACACAGTCTGTGTCGGGTGGTGGTGGGTTAACGACACGTACATTTTTACGCGATCAATCCCATAAAACCTTTGTTATGAATAATATCGGTGGCGAAAACTGCCTTCCGCCAGCCGCCCTTGCTTGTCAACTCCCTGCCCTTCTTCATGGTCAGCCTCGAGACCTTCCCCTTCTGCTCTGTGTTCCACTGCTGCTCTCTCTCTCTCTACAAAATAATAATTCCCACCGTTTTGGTTCGGCTCTCTCACCGCTACATGAAACCACACTGCACCGCATGGTAGAGAGCGCCGATGAGACAGTGGCTCAATGACGTGGACAGCTTTATGCTGGATTCAGAATGGAACCTAATAAATAAATATTCGTAAAAAAATGTACCCCCTACCACAGCGTTTTAAACAATCGCTCTCAACCAAACACGGCGCTCACAAGCGGCCACTCTTTTTGCGAAGAGGAGAAGCCGTGGGGCCGTGAAGGCTGCAGCTAAACTCCCGCTGCTACCGTCGCCGTCCCCGCCGCAGCCATCGCAACGCGGCGCGCTATCGCCCGCGACGATCGCCCGCAGTGGCGGGGATCGTGTTAGTGGCACCGCCGCCGCTTCCCCTCCCCCCACCACCACCGCCCGAGCGTCTCGGACGCTGCCACCTGGCAGCGGCCCTGCGGCGGCGTCGCTTACCCCCCACCCGCCTTCCCGCCCCCCATCTGGAGCGACTGTGCGGTGCTGCGCCCAGAGACCAAACGGCGCGTCGCGGGCGACGATGCGGGGGAGCCGCCGCGGTCGGAGAGAGACTCGAGCCGTAGCGGGAGAGTTGCGAGAGTTCAAATTCTGGCCAAAGAAAATCGATTCTCCCCCCCCCACCCCCTGCTGATCAGACCCGGAGAGTGGGTCCCAGGCAGCTGTCTGCTCAAACAAATGTCGCCTGTTCAGAAGGCCGACTGTGATCACGATTGTGGATGGAGAAATCCCTGCGTGCGCATTTCTTCTTCCGTTCATAATCCACTGCTGCCTCGAAGGCCTCCCCATACCACATCGGCCGTCAGGGGTTGTTTGACCATACTTCACCGCGGGACCAGTGCAGGCCCCAGCCAAGGACCCCGCTAGCGCCGAGCAGATTCGGTGCACTGCATTCGCTTCTGCATCCGCGGCTCCACCGCACCGACATTCATTACTATCAGCCAAAATTCACCAATTATTGAATAATTGTCTCATACAGTACTGTCGCAAGCGCTTGGTGGCACAGTGGCGAGCACAAGCACTAACCTACCAGGCTAAGATTTATACCTGTCCCCAGGGCCGGTTTGAATTGGTCCTGAGATAAACACCTCCTCTCCCCACTTCACATTTTATTCCACATTTAAAAATTCTAAAACTAAACTATTGTTATGTTGCCAGGTAAGGCCACCGCTGAGCTATATGTAGATCTTTTTGGAAGCGACCTGGCTATCACAAATGATAGTTCAACGACGTGGCTTATCACGTGGACATTCACAGTAGCAGCTGTGGAAGCGAAAAAAACGTAAGACCTGGATAAAATTCCAAGCGACTGCGGGGAGAGAGACACGCAAACTCCAAATGTACAGCAGGTGTCAAGGGTCCGGATCGAACCTACGACCTCTTCCAGACCAGGCGAGGTAGTTAACATCTCGCCACCACGGCGCCCAAATTTCAAATGCGTTCGCATAAAGCGAACGCATCACGAGGACGGCTAAGCGCCGTCCTCGTGATCTGCGAGGACCTCATCGTCCGTGTTTACACTTCGCATTTCCTTCGCTTGAAATAGCGATGGGAACGCTGCGCCGAGACCGATTTCAGTTCCAAAACGCCGGAAGGGGTGGGTGACTCATACCGTTTGAAGCAGCCTCGGAAAAAAACACTCAACGTCTGCCCTTGGTTAAAAACTCCAGCGAGTGATGCCCGCACGGAGCAGTGCAGAAAGTAGGTTGCCCTCCCTGTGCCAAGCACGGCTCGCAAGTGGCTGCTCTGCCTTGCGACGAGGGTCATGGCGCCATGGACACACAGAGCGCTCGCCACAATTGGACCACAACACGTCGCTGATCTCGTCAAGGAGCGTACATCGTCACGCTAACTCCGGTCATCCTCGCAGTGGATTTTGGCTCACCATCGACTAAAAACGGTCACCACATCGCACACTTATGTGGCAGTCAGGAAAGCTCTTCTTTCGGATATTAGGAAGCCACTGGGAGCTCTGCACTTTTAGTTTGTTGTCCTTCGGCCGCACCTCCGATTAGCACAGTTGGCTCCGTACGGTGTGCACCGCAAGGTTGAGTTGAACTGTGGGAGATCCAGGAACGATTCAGATAAAAGTAACCCGGCATTGACCGTGAGCGCAGTGCGCTAATCGCTACGCCGCCGCACCCGCTCTCCACCCTTCACGCCGACAACCTCACGCACCACGCTGCTCACGGCGTGCCTCTTCACCTCGACGGCAACGTCTCAGGATAGGAGAGCAAACGGCTTGAGAAGCGCCCGCGAGGTGTACCGGAGTGTTCCGGCACGTGCGCCCCCCGCCTGCGCCCCCTCAACCAGCCCCCCCACCCCCCACCCCCTTCCCCGTCCGCCCGCCTCACCTGCTGTCGACTCTGCTCCTCCAGGTTAAGCTTCACCTCCAGAGACTGCCGCGCCTCCAGGAAGGCCTTGCGGTGTTTGCGGTCGGCCATGAAGTAGGAGATGATGCCCACGATGATGGCGCACATGTAGATGGCGACGTTCGCCAGCAGCTGTGGGGGGGGGGGGGGGATGGGGCGGGGGGGAGACGCGGGGGAAGTCAGGCTCTCTGCGTCTCACTGCAAGAGAAAAGATCAGCTCACCGTTTGATTCCTTCTCATTGTGTTCGCTTAATGTACGCCTTTCGCACTGTACGTAGCCAACCGTGCTAACATAAGCGGGGCATGGCATGGTCGTGGCTATCGCTGGGATCGGGCCCTATGGACAAGGTTTGGTGATAGCAGCCAAAGGACGGAACGCGTCTCGAGAGGATGACCATGGCAGAGTTGGGGCGCCGCGGTGGCTAGGAGATGTTAACAACCTCGCCTGGTATGCAGAAGGTTGTGGGTTCGATCCCGACCCTGATGCCTGCTGCTGTATATTTGGAGTTTGTGTGTCTCTCTCTCCCCGTGGCCGCGTGGATTTCCCCCTCCATATTCAGAACCAACGTCACGCGTTTAGAGTCTTTGGCTGGTATACATTTCCACGTGAAAAGCCACTTTGTAGAGCTGTCATTTGCGGCTGGGCGTCTATTTTTTAAAAAGAGCCACGTAGCTTAGTGGGGCTTTACCTGGCAAAATAATAAAAAAATAGTTTGTACATGAAGCGACGAGATGGATCGTGTCATCGCTAAACCATGAGGAATACCCACAACGCATGGGGGGGGGGGGGGGGCCCTTCGCCCAGCAGTGGATAGACCACGGACGACGGTGAAAACAATGTCAAAATTTTCCTAAGCACTTGGTGTGTGCCCGGGGCGAGTGTGGCGTCCGCACCACGGCGTTATGTGTGCAGCACGCGACTGCCGCTAGTGCAGCGCTTCTTCAATCAAGTTTAAAACGTAGGCTTTCGGGACAAATATTTACACTCACAATGTTAATTGTAAATGCCGTGCGTCTAATCTCCAATGCACCAGTGCACTGAACCAGTCACTAATTGGCACGTTTTAGTTTACGTGACAAACCTTGCTAATCAGCCGTCGGGCGGTGGGTGGTGGGTTTGACGACACATTTATCTGTCATAATACAGGTAAATATATAAACTTGTCGCCTGATCAAGCTAGTTGTAATTACTGGTGAAACGTCTTACTCAGATTGTACATTTTGTGGCCTGGCTCTCCAACATACCGGTGTGCTGTACTAGTAACGAATTGGCACGTTCTGTTTACGTGACAACCCTTACTATTTGGCCGTGTCGGGTTGTGGCGGGTTTAACGACGCATTTATATTTTTGCGATCTAACCCCCCCCAAAAAAAACCTGTATTATGGATATTGGTCGCGAAAGCCTACACGTGTTAAACTGACATTGGTCTTTACGCTTCTCATATCGACGCCGAGTTCAGATGTCGCAACTGACAGAGACGCCAGGCCAGTGGTGGAGCCTGGAATCGGGTCTTTACACTAGTTAGCGCAACAACCTCACTGCTGATCTCGTCAAGGAGCGTAAACCATCGTCGGGTGAACTCCGGTCATCCTCGCAAAAGTGGCAGAGGCTTTTGGCGAAGCGTCGAACGAAGACGGTGGTTGCCGGATCGCATGGTGCTTTAAGACGTGCTTCTGCAGTCATCTGCAATGCTCTTCCTTCTGATATTAGGAATCCACTGGAGATATGGACTTTTAAATCATCGAGTTTGAAAGCTCATTTCTCTTGATCTGCTTTTTGTGTTTGTTGTCCTTCCCCCGCACCTCCGATTAGCGCGGTTGGCTATGTACGGATGTGAAAGAAGTTCAACGTCCATGCACGCGGTTTGCACCGCCACATCCAGTATACCTCTCACAATGGCTATGACTACGAGTCACGTGCCGCCTACCCCGGGCTAACAGGGACCCGAGAAAACGTCCAATTTGAAAGGAAGGCCCAGTTTGACAGGCAAGTCCAGGGGGAGTTCGTGTGAAGGTGCGAGCGCCCCTTGGTCTTGCAAAGCACAGAATGCTGGCTTTGACTCCGTCTCCTGGTGCTGCAGCTGAAACAACGGATGCGATTTCTCAATTCCACCTCATCCCACCCTGCAGGCCCTCGGGGGGGTTCAACCGCACAGTCAAATCGGCGGGCCGCGTGCGATGGGGGTAAAGTGGGGGAAACTCCCGTCTCTTCCGAGGCCTCTGGCCGGCGTGGAATAGTAGACCAAACTACTCTCTAGATAGGGCCCTGAAATCCACCTCCAGTGGGAGGCCCTGATCACGACAGTGGGCTCAGGAGGCTGCTGCGGGGGGCCTGCGCCTTCAGCCTCAGCTCTGCCGGTCACAGGCCACGGCCATCGCCGCCACGGGCCCGCGACGGAGCCGCGACGGAGCCGCTACCGAGTGCTCCACGGTGAACAACAACAGCCGCCGCCATACACGCGCGCTGCCGGCGGTGCGTTCAACGTTCGCGGTAATTTACAACTCCCTCCCTGCCCGTCCCACTCCCCTTCCCACCCACCCGCCCCCCCCCCCCCCCCGTGCACGGTGGGAAAACCACGCGGTGATTAGAGGAGCAAGCAAATAAATAAATAAGCGACGAAAATAACGAGAGGGCGGCCGCTTCCCACACTTCCCGCACCGCGCTCGCTGCTTGTGTGGGGCAGTGGGAAGGCCTGAGAACCACCACCACCCCCAATAGTCGTTTGTTTGTCGTGACCTTTTGGAGCGAGCCGGGCCCCTGGGTCTTTAACGCGGCCCCAGGTGCCGCCCCGCGAGGACACAGGGAGGGGGGGCGGGGGGGGGGCTTGGGGTGGTTATGAAGAGGGGGGCGGCTGTCATGGGAGCTCAATCATCTACAGCCCAATGCCACCATCACCACCATCACCACCATCACCATCACCACCACCACCATAACCAACCACCATCACCACCATCACCATCACAACCATCACCATCATCACCATTACCATTACCACCATCACCACCATAACCAGCACCATCACCACCATCACCATCACCACCATTACCATCGTCACCACCATCATAACACCACCATCACCACCACCATCATCACTACCACCACCATCACCACCACTGTCACTACCACCATCACCACCATCACCACCATCATCACCACCACCATCACCACCATCACCACCATCACCATCACCACCATCACCACCATCATAACTACCACCATCACCACCACCATCATCACTACCACCACCACCACTACCACCACCACCACTACCACCACCATCACCACCACCATCACCATCACCACCATTACCATCACCACCATCACCACCATCATAACTACCACCATCACCACCACCATCATCACTACCACCACCATCACCACTACCGTCACTACCACCATCACCACCATCACCATCATCACCACCACCACCATCATCATCACCACCACCACCACCATCACCACCATCATAACTACCACCATCACCACCACCATCATCACTACCACCACCACCATCACCACCACCGTCACTACCACCATCACCACCACCATCACCACCATCATCACCACCACCATCACCACCATCACCACCATCACCACCATCATAACTACCACCATCACCACCACCATCATCACTACCACCACCACCACCATCACCACCACCATCACTACCACCATCACCACCATCACCATCATCACCACCATCACCATCACCACCATTACCATCACCAACATCACCACCATCATAACTACCACCATCACCATCATCACTACCACCACCACCATCACCACTACCGTCACTACCACCATCACCACCATCACCATCATCACCACCACCACCATCATCATCACCACTACCACCATCACCACCATCACCACCATCATAACTACCACCACCACCATCATCACTACCACCACCACCACCATCACCACTACCGTCACTACCACCATCACCACCATCACCAGGGTGTAGGTAGGTGACAGGGTGTGGGTAGGTGACATGGTAGGGGTAGGTGACATGGTAGGGGTAGGTGACAGGGTAGGGGTAGGTGACAGGGTGTGGGTAGGTAACAGGGTGTGGGTAGGTGACAGGGTGTGGGTAGGTGACAGGGTAGGGGTAGGTGACAGGGTAGGGGTAGGTGACAGGGTAGGGGTAGGTGACAGGGTGTGGGTAGGTGACAGGGTGTGGGTAGGTGACATGGTAGGGGTAGGTGACAGGGTAGGGGTAGGTGACAGGGTGTGGGTAGGTGACAGGGTGTGGGTAGGTGACAGGGTAGGGGTAAGTGACAGGGTAGGGGTAGGTGACAGGGTAGGGGTAGGTGACAGGGTAGGGGTAGGTGACAGGGTAGGGGTAGGTGACAGGGTGTGGGTAGGTGACAGGGTAGGGGTAGGTGACAGGGTAGGGGTAGGTGACAGGGTAGGGGTAGGTGACAGGGTGTGGGTAGGTGACAGGGTAGGGGTAGACGACAGGGTGTGGGTAGCTGCTGGTGAGGACTTTAAGTTGCCGTGCTATTTATTTATTTGTTTCCAAGTTTCGCTACATTAATCCTGTTATGAATTTCGCTGGATTCCTCCAGGGCGAGTCCCAGAATATTAACACGACGGTAATGACACCTTGACCACGGGTAACAGTAGCCGCGGAAGCCTGCATGTGAAACGTGCCAAAGTGTCGTTAATCTCGAGCCATCTCTACGAGAGTTCATCATGACACCAGCGGAGAGGGACAGACCCTCGCCAGGTCGAACGGATTGCCGCTTCCATCGTGCACTGCCTTGAGCAACAGCGTCAGCCATACGCTCACCCCATTTCATTTCGACGTATTCTCTACCGGAGCTGTCGTGCTCCCATGTTAGGGACAGATGGATAGAGAGACAGATGGATAGAGAGACAGACGGATAGAGAGACAGATGGAGAGACAGACGGACAGAGAGACAGACGGACAGAGAGACAGACGGACAGAGAGACAGATGGATAGAGAGACAGACGGACAGAAAGACAGACGGACAGAGAGACAGACGGACAGAGAGACAGACGGACATAGAGACAGACGGACAGAGAGACAGACGGACAGAAAGACAGACGGACAGAGAGATAGACGGACAGAGAGACAGATGGACAGAAAGACAGACGGAC